AATTAGTCAAGGTATTATAATGAAACTATACACCAAGTTTCATCACTCTCACCTAATTAGAACCAAATGTCATGTCCCAATGCATCAACCAATCAAATTGCTTATCTTTGCTTAGCCTAAGCAGAAGATGTCCTTCTTAGAACACCATCAAGGCATTTGCCGAATAAACACCTACACCAAGGTTGAACATTGTAACTCAATTAGAAGGAGAGTTATTGTGTCGCAAAAAAGTGACGGACAGACTGACAGACGGACGGACCCCAAAGCATCCTGTTAGTATTATGTATTCATACCGACGGCACAATCTTCAGAAATTTAAATTCTACTGAAACAAACCATCTCGCTCTTATTGTCATTTGGCTCTTATTGTCATTTCGATCAATAATTTGATAAAGCGTGAAAGGTCGTCTAAATATTTTCAACGGTTAAATAATCTTTTTCACTTGTTTTGACAATCATATTCATAAAATACAATGATATAATTAATGGCAAATAAATGATCTAATTAATGCAAAATAATCTATATTTTCACCGACATGCATCTGCTGGGATGTCAGCTGCTTTTTTGCCTCAATTTTCACCGATATACAATGTGATTAACTTGCGTCAAACGATATATAAACGACTAATTATGATTCAGTTAATCAATAGACTAACCCACTCATATATTTCTAACGTTATCGATATATTATCTTAGAAATAATACTGTTCTCGAGGGGTACTTTTGTAGAACAAATATTTTTTCAAATTCTTTTATTCCTTCCACGATCAGCGAATGGAACTCACTGAAACCCGAACTACAAAATTCAAATTATGCCTCATCATTTGTTGTAAACGTGATTAAAACGACCATAATATACCGCATTACTTTTATATTGAAGATAGAAACAATCAGCTAATACATAGTAAATTGAAATTAGGCTACATTAATTTAAATATCGTCATACGTTTCTTCGACATTTAATGGGCAGCCCATTTTGCGCTTGGTGACACCATTTTCAGGAAAGTTCAGTATTGATATGCTCCCTGCCTTTGGGTGTCTATGGCCAAACTAATTGATTACTTGGGCAGTAATTTCAAGATTTGGGTATTTTATTAAACGGTCACAGTCCGTTCAGTTTTTAACTTTTTGAATTTATGCTCTACAATTGCATCTGTATTATAAAATAAAATAAAACAAAGTAACAAAAATTAAAGAGGCATTAGGTAAGGTTGGATAAGAGCTGACAGTTTTCGCTAGAATAGTTAAAAAATAATCAAATTGCCTAGTTATCGGCGAATCAATTACAGTCTAGCCTTGATTGTCATTGCTAACATTGTTACGATAATGAACAAAGTCTCGATTATCTATTTTATGGTAACCGCATCAACCGCAAAACATATTTAAATCTACTTAATATCGGAGCCATCCGATGACATTGAGAGTTGATTATGGTCTTGGTATGTTAATTAATGCCTAATTAATAATTCATATAACTTTAATTTCATGGCCTAATGAATGGCCTGCAATAGGCAGGTCAACGTCAACCGACAACACTGCAAGAATTGGCCGTGGCACTGCAAGAGGAGTGGGTCAGGCTGCCCCAAATCGTGATTGGACGGTTGATTAGAAGCATGCCACGGCGAATTGCTGAATCTCTGAGGATTGGTGGAGCAATTACTCATTATTAAGACAAAAATCAAAAACGTCCATTTTCACTTTTGACGGTGTATCTCTTTGCGAGTAAAATGAGGCCGTCAGATAAGTCGCCTATATGAACTGTTTATGTTCATGTGTAGGCAATTGGCCTGTTATTAACATACACTTGTTACCTCTAATAAAAACAGCAGTGCATTTACACAGTTTTGTATTGTTTCTGAATATCCCCTACTTTTTTTGAAGAGTATATAAAAATAGTGTCGGATTTAGATGAAGAGAGGCCCTGTGATATTTCACTGATGTGGTCTCTCCCAAACTCCCATTCTCGCTTCTAGATTACGCTAAAAGTGTGTTTTAAACAGAATGAGCAATGTCGAGGATAAACACGGCTGTTTAAGTCTGTACAGTAATCAAGGCTTATATGACAGTCATAATAATTATTTATAACGATTCCAATTTTATCTAAAGTACGAGACAAAAGCAGTGATTGATAAGCGTGTGATTATTTCAAATCCCATTTTACGCAGGAGTGTCGAATGCAGGTTGATAACGATCCCAATTTTATCTAAAGTACGGGACACGAAACAATGACTGATAAGCGCGTGAATTTATTTGAATAAATTATGAATGGTTTCTTTGAGAACACTTTCTGATATTAGTTCCCGAGCATAATCAGTACAGTAAGCAAATACTAATAATAACTCCAGGGCTATCAATAATATTAAAGCGGCAATACGTCTGTTTATTGTTGAATATACTCATTTTAAAATGTCTAACAGCTTGGGGATCACGTGGCTAAGTGGGTAAGACGTTGGCTCGCTAGCCTGGAGGTCGGGTGTTCGAAACCTGCATTGGCCGAGAAAGTTCATCCAGATTTTCCAGCGTGATTCCCCCTTGTCAGTGATGCAGGACGGAGGGCCTGACAATGACAGCTGTCTAGTCCTTCGGATGAGACGAAAAACCGAGGTCCCGTGTATACATGCACGTTCAAGGATCCCTTCATTAGCCCAGTCAGAGCAGAGCAGTAGGACGTTAAACCCCATTTCATTTCATTTCATTTGTCTAACAGCTTAAAGGGCTAAATGTCTAACCCAATATTATCCATAACATTTTGAAATTATAAACACGAATTAGAATTCAATGATGGTCCATACGATTAAATGGAAGTCAGTTTTTTTATTTGACTATTTTATATCTCAGATTGTCACCCAACAAAACAAACCAATGAAATGGACTATCTTATTTTTTAATCAAATAATAGTCAATTTAGTGATTGCATCTTCAATACGGTATCTGGACAAGGTATCATTCCATTTCAGACGTACATTAACTTAATTGTCTTGAACTTCTGGTGCTGATGAGCTTAACTGACTTCCATGTCATACGTAAATTACCTTAAATGACTTCAACCAGGTAAAGAGAGAGAAAGAGAGAAATGGGGTTTAACGTCCACTCGACACAAACTAGCTCATTTCGGGACTAACATATGGTTTAATTCTATTTCAATAATTCGCTTGCGCATAGGGGTCTTTAGCAGTGGGAGGAAACCGGAGGACCCGGAGAAAACCCACGAGGTTGGATAGGCGACCCTACTCCTTGCCACGTACAACCGGGGATTCGAAACCACGCCAGTTGACTCAGTGACAGACTTTATGGTACAGCGCGCACGTGCTAACCATTCAGCCATCCAACCCCCATTCAACCAGGTTAAGATGCAATACTAAACTAATTTGAGCACTTCAAGCCACTTTTCATTTATTAGACACCCAACTTTGCTTCTGAAATCTACGTCTAAACCACGACTCCATTAAGCCCCAAATAATGCAAGAATGGTGCACGAGCCACAGCATGCACACTCTCTGTAAAACACTTTATGCTACACATTTTGAAAGGTTATATAGATATTGGATTGGTGGATCTAGCACACAATCATAATAATGTAGTAATTTACTGTACGGAGTCACGGTGTCTCGGGGGGTACGGCGGAGGGCCTGGCAAGGGATATAGTCGTTTGGATGGGACGAGTAATCGAGATCCCGTGTACACATTGGAGTGCACGTAAGAAAACCCTTGGCAGTTGGAATTCGATATAAGAGTAGACCGTATAGCGCCGCTGTACGTGCAACTGTTCCCTCGTAGCACACTGTATGTATGGCGAATGCCCATCTGCAATAGTCCAGTCTGAGCAGAACAGTAAGACGTTAAACCAAATTTCATTTCATTTCATTTACTTTAACATTTTAAAGGCGCAGTCCCAAGTATATATTCAAAGACTATTTTGGGTTAAACGACACTTGGAAACATTTATCATAGTAATGGTAAGTATTCTAAGATCATTTTACACCTCAAACGACAATTTTATCAACACGCCAATTTGTGTGTTACTATTTCTTTTTAAATGCGTAAGTGTGCGTTTTTTCGACATCCATTTATCGCCATTCGCTATGTCGACATTATATAACGGAGAAATGGAATATGTTGACAATGCTTCAGCATATCATTATCATACCGCAAACGTTAATAAGAAATGACGACACATTGTTGATAGAATTAACTCAGAAAAAATGTTTATTTCAGGGGTAAAATCATCTCAACGATCACAATAATGTTGACATATTACCTTACTGACATCGTGATATCTTTCCTGCTATTGACCCCTATACGCACCCAATCTGATTTAAACAGATCCTACTTCGTTTCGTTTTTTATAGTTCAAAATTTCGTTTTACTTGTCTTTACTACACTAGGATCTGGAAGAGTTGTTGTCATTGACGCGTCTGGATGGTGTGAGGTATTAGCCAATGAAACGGTCTGTTAAGGCGAGCTTTAGGCGTGTTTTGCACGGAACTGTAGGTAATCCACTAGTAACATCAAGGCTGATTGGTTAATCAAATGTCTGACATCATAGGTCAAAAGCGGGTCGTATGACCTCTGACGCGACCTATCGCTACAACCGGTCAGATCTTCATGTAGTGTAGGCCATCGAAAGTATAAAAAACGAAACGAAATATAGATCTGTGCTTTTTCTTTTTAGATGATATAAAAAATTTCAATTCACGCTGTGTAAGTGCATGGTGTGTCCCTTTAAATTAGATGCTAATATATTTATTATCCATTAATATATTTTCTTAATTAGTTGCTAGTCTATATCTATATAGATTTCATCTGCTTAAATGACTAAAGCTCAGGATGTAGTAAATCCAAATCTAAAATCTTGGACATTATTATAATTATCTACGCAAGGAACTGTCGGCAAATCGATAAACACCTTATCTATCTATGTAAACGACTATACATTACACACACACACACAGAAGAAGTACACGGTGTTGAGCGCACGACAGCTAAATCATCACGGAAATCAAATTCATAAACTGCTCACAATCGAACCTATGATTATTGTATTGGGATAACTGGCTATGGGCGTTGTCCCTGTATTGGATTCACTATAACAAGAAAAAAAGATATCGACAAAGATTCGATGCTGTAATAATGATGGATGCTCTCACGGTTCTGATTGTTTTTCTATTGGATTATCTAAGAGCAAGGTAATCTTTTGAATTTTATTTTCTTTAAATCAAAATTGGTAAAAGACATCTATTGGAAACAATAATCATCGTAATCATAAACATGATTGAGATCCGCCAGTATATTTTTAATGATAATATTGATGTGTATTATAACACCCATAGTTATTGATTCAAAACTTCTATATTTTTTATAAATGCGTTGCAGTTAATAAAACCTAGTGAATGTTATCCATAAAGCTGTCTGTTATTATATATTATTTTCACTAAATGCCCTTTAAAGATAGTGTCGAAGGTGTTTGATATTTTTGACACCGCCATAAGCATTGCTTATGCAAGGCTTTCACGTGGGCTGCGAATCTCACGAATTGTCCAGAATACAAACTTTTCCCGATTCGTAGATAAATCGCAGATGGTTCCTGGAGTCCGAGAATGATTTTTATTTAGTTCTTACACATTCGTTTTGTTTGTAGCAGTTCTTAGCTCGACCACGAGCGTTTTGTTTTTGTTTGTCAAAACTTTCGTGGCCGGTCTACGAATTTCGGAATGTGTAGATATATCGTAAACCCGTCGAAACCCTTTCGCACTAAATTGTATTTGTAGCCCAAGTGAAAGTCTCGCGTTACGTGCACTGTAGTCTTAAGCAAGGCTGACACTTGCACGATTCCGTGGCACGCATTGGCACGACTCGAGTCGTAAACTAGTCGTAAACTGGCGTGAAGTGTGCGTAGACCCGTCGTGACTGCGTGCCATGTCGGGACGAGAATTTTGAAATGTTCAAAATTTGGTCACGACAAAATTTAGCGACTGGGTCGTGAACTATACGCACACTGTTCGTGACTCGTCGGGACGATGCGGAAGGGTGCGTCTTCTCTTCTTTGCAATGATTGTGTCTCTGACATTCAGCATGTTGTCTCTTCCACAGCCTATCCAAAAATGACCAGGGGTTGGGGAGGCCCCCTTTTTATATGGCGTGCCCACGTCGGTACGACACCGTCCGAATTGCGCAAACTCGTCGTGCCAATGCGGGAAGTGCGTAAACAATGCGCAAACTATGCACAAACTATGCGTGAACTCGTCGTGCCAATTCGTGTCAATGTGGACACTAATGGGCACGCATTCGTGAACTCGTCGTGAACTAGTCGTGAACAGTGCGGGAGCCTCCCAGTTCGTGCCCCAAAATGGCACGACTTGCCACGACAAAATCGTGGCCAAAAGTCGTGCAAGTGTCAGCCTGGCTTTAAACTTCTAGCATCATCCACGACGAAGTTCAATTTGTTTAAAACATACCTTCATCCTGGGTGTGGGAAAGGGAGGAGTCTCATAAAGTGGCATAGACTATGGTCTCTCTTCATTTAAATCTGGCACTGTTGTCAGATCTTTGTCTATCACTATATCAAGGATGTTTAAAGTAGCTAAGTCTTTAACTCAGTATCATTCACATTGCAAACGCGACTTATTGGTCAATTTTAACCACCATTAATGCTGTAATATTGCTATGAAAAGGTAGGCTTCTGCTATTCAATATTTAAGACACAGCGAAAAATTTTAACTGGACACAAGAATGGCGTGCCAGAATGCTTTCGAGCGCCATTTGTAATGAAGTGATTGGATGAACGAGGCTAAACATATCTCACAAGGGAAGACTGTCGGAGTAGACTGGAATAACCAGACGCCAAAGACTGCCATTCAATATGCACTCTTAGCGTATTTCACCGAAAATAACTGATTAGAAATTACAGTAAAAACAGAAATGATTGAACGCAAATCAATTTATAAACATCCACATTACATTATTATTTGCGTTGCGACCCATTTGTGTCCATTTCTGGGTGCCATAGAGTAACGATTTAGCTCCTTTAAACCGATGTTAAAACTAATTTGAAACATCGGTATGATACATGCAGTCATATTCTCATGTTAATGATATATATAATGAAAGAAAATATCGATGTTAAAAATGAATAAATATTTAAAATCCCTAGTTGTATAATAACCATACATATGTTAGACTAGTATGCAATTGCCATCTATCGAGCCGATTATCATTATTTTCCGACAATAGGTCTTTTGAAGATTTTTAAGTTCTTGAGGGCTCTTTTTTTATTTTTTATTTATTTTTCGTAAATTCTACTTGTTGTAATTCGTAATATATATATATATATATATATATATATATAGAGAGAGAGAGAGAGAGAGAGAGGAGAGAGAGGAGAGAGAGTAAAAGTCCACTCAACACGAACCAGGTCATTTCGGGACTAACATTATGTTTCGATTTTATAACAATAATTCGCTTGCTCGTAGGGGTTTTTAGCAATGGGAGGAAAACCAGAGGATCCGGAGAAAACCCACGAGGTTGGACAGGCGACCCTACTCCTTGTCACGTACAACCGGGAACTCAAAACCACGCCAGTTGACTCAATGAAAGGCCTTATGATACAGCGCGCAACGCGCACGTGCTAACCACCCCCCCCTCCCTTAAAGGAGATAAATCTCTTGCAGTTGTAATATCGAACACAATGGCTACAATTTCCCATTTTCTACAGGATGAAATTGTATAGTATTCAACGGTCCAAATATTCCAGTTTATGTGGTGCAAATCCTATAATTTTTCCTACAGGTTTATGCTACATTTTCTAGGAAAATACTATAGTACTATATATATATTTTTATAGCGTTTTGTCTTTAATCAAGTTTTGTAAACAGACTGCACAGTTGTCCTACTTTCTTCAGTTTCTTGTTAATACTAACTTGTATGAAGTTGTTATACATCTACATTAAATATAAAATGTACAATTCAGCCAATAAACAAAGAGTCTTCTCTTGGATTAACTTTAATCAGTCCGTTAGCTAACGGCTAATGAAATTGACTTTCCAGCAACAGAAATTTAACGGTTGTTAACAAACGACATGTTAGCAAGATAACGACCCGTTACTGTTTTTGAAATACGGTTTAACGTCCTACTGTTTTGTCCCGACTGGGCTAATGAAGACGAGCATATACGCCATCCAGTGTGCTATGAGGGTCATTTTGCCCGGGCAGCGGCAATAAGGCATACTCTTATATGGAATTCCAATTGCCAAGGGATCTTTACGTGTACACCAATGTGCACACGGGACCTCAGTTTTTGTCTCATTCGAATGACTAGACAACCGTCCTCATCAGACCCCCTGTCCCACACCACTGAAACCACGCCGGAAAATCAGAAGGAACTTTTTCGGCCAACACCGGGCGCGAACACGCGCCCTCCAGGCAGGCGAGGAAGCATCTTACTAACTTAGCCACCGTGGCTTCCTGATTTTGCGCACCCGGCCCCAGATGTGTTATAAAGGTGATGGGGTACAATCCAAACAATTTAATGTTCGTTTAGAAATACTTAGCGGAAGTCGGTTTGTTTACTGATTTTAGTTCCGGTTTTGGATCAAACACTAATCAACACATCCAACTTAATCTCAATGGTAAACGAGTTCGCATAATTTTAAAATGTGGACTATAAAGAAATTCACTACATACTTTGTGGCAGTTACGATGGGGGACCTAATTGTAACGCAGTTTTGGACAGTCGATGTTTTATATGTACTCAACTGGCGCTTGAAATAGCGATGTAAATATACAGCAAAAATATTTTTGTTAATCGAATTAAAATTCCATCTTAATTTCGCTTGGGATATCTAACTAATTTCGTATTGAATGGCTGAAGAAATACGTTTTTTAAAATAAGTAAATATCTGATTTGCAGTTTAATAACACAATCGAGATTCCATTTTAATCATTAATGGGTGTAGACGTCACTATAAAAACATAACTAACCTCCATATTTGATGTTTATCACCAATTATAGCATAGTTGATATATCGATGACCTTCCAGATATTTGGGTAAAAACTTTATTTATCGTGTAAAAAGTTGAAAAATTTCATTTATTAAAGATAGACTTCTTATTATTTTAACTTTTAAATGTCACAGTCAGTTATCTATATCGACATATCTATATTGTTTAACTTCAAATGAAAAATGAATTTATCGAATTATCTACAATCTATCTTATGGGTGTTTGTCCGCTTCTTTGATAATCCATAACGAAAATGTCTACATCAGATGAAGATATAATCTCACAGATCACTCGATCCACCACGAGCGTTAAATACAAACGCAATTTTCTTGGAAGGACGCCATGTTGAACCGCTTTGGTGGGCTCGATATGGACCACGCTGTGTTATGGCGCTTAAAAATGCATTCTAACAAACGTTTTTATACGGTAGTTGTTTCGATAAATTAGGCTTTTATGAAGATACCGGGTTCCCTGTAAAACACCATGTGGCGCAAACAGGAAAAAACGGTAAGGGTATAACTAACTCACAATACGTCGGCCTGTCTGCTCGAATGACGTAAAGAGAGTTTCGTAGTTTTGATCAAATGGCTAGCGGTTAAACTTAAACATACAGCAGATTAAACGGCAGAAAAAGACGATGACAGCGAATAAACCAAGAATTTACTTCGGCTTCGATATTTATGGTAAATGGATAGCGAGTAACGGCAAATACAACCTGTAATGGATCCTCGCTACAATAAAGTCAAGTGACAAACGAAGGTGCACAAGTAGATTTTCATGGCTTTGAGTAATTGTTTACGATTTGCAATCTTTTACGAGGGATTTGAAACAAACTTTTGAAAGACAACAGTTTGAATATGTTTTTAGTCCAAAAATATCACCAAAGCACAAGAATAAATCGCCCTGGCACCTGAATTGTGGTAATAAAATCACTGCAAATACGACTTCATTTGTTACGCGTAAATAGACACAGAGTAATGGAGATTGTCGTGGACTCCAAGTGTTCTATCATGGACGTTGTATAGATGGATAGGCAACGTCCACTAAGCCGTTAGAATTCTGTGCCACGGCAAACCATACATGGACTACTATACTCACTGATGATTGGGGTGTAAATGTATCAACGCATCGTCTTTGTTCACTTTGGACGCGCCCATGTGAATCCGAAAAAAAAACCCCAAAACATGTCGAGTTTTCGTTAAAAACAAAACTACTAAAACACTCTTTTAATTTTTACTTCTTCACAATTAATCAACATTCCGGACAGTATTATACCCGAACTTTAGTTTCATAATTTTAAAATCCTTCATACATGCAGGAATGTGGAGTAATAAGCAAAACCAAAATATTTACAAAAACTACGAAAATATTGAAATCGATCATTTCACATTTTTCAACTGCTGCATTTGGAAATTTCAAAGTTCTAAACTGGAGAAACCAACCAACGGGACTCGTTGCCTGTCCATCTATATACGGTCCATAATTCTATACTAGTATTCCATTACCACCAAACAAAGAAATGAAATGAAATGAAATGGGGTTTAACGTCCTACTGTTCTGCTCCTATACTGGGCTAATGAAGACGGGCATACGCCATACAGTGTGATATGAGGGAAATTTTGCCCGGGCAGCGGCACTATCGCCTACTCTTATATCGAATTCCAACTGCCAAGGGATTTTTTACGTGCATTCCAATGTATACACGGGACCTCGGTTTTTCGTATCATCCGAAGGACTAGACAGCCCTCTGTTCTGCACCACTGACAAGGGGAAACCACGTCGGAAAATCTGGATGAACTTTCTCGGCTAATGCAGGGATCGAACGTCCGACCTCCAGGCTAGCGAGCCAGCGTCTTAACCACCTAGCCACCGTGGCTCCCATTATTACCACCAAACAAAAATCATCCAAGTTCGAAGCGATGAAAACCAAATAGTACACGAAAATACACGGACAAAGTGTGTTGCGCACACTATTATATGTAGGCGGTGGAAAAGAAAATTCGCCATGAAAAATTAGTCGGCGTACAAAATATATCTTCGTCTGAAAGTATCATATTTCTAATATCAAGTACAAGCGTCCATAGCATGACGTCATCGCCGTCATATTGGAATTTGGCATCTTAACAAAAATTGAAGTACGTCGATCATACTTGGATTGGCGGAGCCTTATGTTCTTTTCTAAGAGCGTCGCCCCAAGAAGAAAATGATTAAGAACAAGATAAGTAGCGCTTGGGGTCCAGCCCTTGGTCACAACATCAAAGTAGGAAGCCTACTACTTATCGTGTTGTGTACGTATTTAAAGGACAATATTGGTGTCAATCATTATCACATATGTGATAGAACTGGTTAAACAGGTTCCAAATATAATTTTAACACAGAGATCATTGCTACGATAGATGCGTAACGCATATTTGACGAAACGGAGGTGACAAAAGCAAAAGGAAACACGAGTTGATCTTCTATATAACTGACTGAAGTAACGAGCGATAACAGATACACGGGCAAATTTCTGTTCATTGATAATTAATTCGAAGAACAAAGGTTGTTATATGCGACTGTGAGAGGATATCTGACAATTCAAAAAAATAATTGAATGTCACTAGATAAGAGAAAATGAGAAAAATAGGAATAGCCCGTATATTCCCCTGTTTTTATTCAAATTAAAAAAAAAGTATGGTAATACACGGATATTTTCTATTTACTATATTATTCTTTAATATAGAATTTATACTAAAGTTTTTTATATCTAATATAACAGAATCTCTTTTTACGTTTTAGCTCCGAAACGACGAATTTCAGAACTCATTAAATACCGAATGTGAAATTCAAAGATTAAAACTAATAATTCTGTTAAAGTATCTGTCAGCATTTAATCTCATGTCTGTCCTATGATAAACACTGTGTCGAGTAAACCAACATTATATGCTCATATTCTTAATTTAAACATATCCAGATCGTCAAATATCATATACTCGTTATATTAGATATCAGTAAACCAATACCCATAACAGTCCCGCAGTCGATATTCATTAATATATATACATGCCTTTTATTTCTGAAATATATTATTTACTATTTAAAGGGAGATTCAGGATCTACTATATAATGAAAATAATAATGTGTATCGCATTGTCTGCGATATCACTTCCGTGGAAGCAGACGTTAAAGCACCAGGTATTAGTAGTAGTGTATCACGTGGGCCGAACAAAGTGCACCATTCTTTAACAATTTGCGCATTAGAACAGTACCAATTTATGCATAAGAATAATAACAATTTGTGCATTAGTATGACAATATGTGCATTACAATAATAACATTTTTTGTGCATTAGAATAAAACCAGTTTGTGTAATAGAATAATAAAAAATTGCACATTAGAACAATTACAATTTGTGTTTGAGAATAATAACAATTTGTGTATGAGAATAATAACAATTTATGCATGTGAATAATAACAATTTATGCATGTGAATAATAAAAAATTGTGCATTAGAACAATAACAATTTGTGCATGAGGATAATAACAATTTGTGCATTAAAGTAATAACAATTTCACACTGTCTTTAATCTTAGCCTACAGTTTCATATGTGTTCCATGCAACACAGACACGCCAGTGAATAAGTAGAGTCTGTTTGAAATTGTCCATAAAGGTTGCACAATGGAAGCCCCGAGAAAATAGTGAAGCCATATAATGATGTGATTAGTGATCATTAATTTTATGAGATTGTAAATCATCTCTTTATGAACCTGGTTGCATAACTGTGATCATTATCATTATATCACCTGTATCAGTGACAATGTAAAAAAAACCCTACTAAAAATAGTCACGATCCTGCAACACGCACATAATGCATGTTATTAGCTAGAGTCACGGTGGCTCAGTGAGTAAGACGTTGGCTTGCTAACCTGGAGGTCCCGTGTTCGATTCCTGCGTTGGCTGAGAACGTCCATAGGGATTTCCCTGCATAGTCTATATCGCTCCTCTCATCATACAAGGAATATAGAACATATTATAAACAGACCTGCTATGTACATATGAAATAATGGGGGAAAATCATGATGTCAAGAAAACAAATTGTATACACTATTTATAACAAATAAAAAAGAGGAAGCGCTATTTTATAACATGATTAAAAATTGTTCAGAAAAGAAAATAAAATACTGGAACGGCTGGAGACATCAAAGTATTCATGTACTATTTTAAAGATGTAGTTGCAGCCTGATTATCTATACCAAACAGAAGTGATTTAATCTGATGTAATGGTGAAAGATTTATTGAGTTTTATCGGGAATCTGAATAAAATGGGCACCAACAGAGAAAATGTTCAGAATCTTCAAATCGATGAACGCAACTGCATGATGGCTACTCGAAGATATGTCGTAAAATGTCGCTACAAGAAAGCCACAATCTGCTATGTACAATCTGATTGTTTCTTTTGCCTTGTAAAAATGGATTTAGAATAATAAGATCATTTAGTTTTACTTTTTGTTTGAAAGTAGTCAGAGACAGAGAAATTCTTATATTGATATCAAGTTTGTTCAGTCCTTTTGTTCAAGAGGGTCCAAAAGAGTTCGAAAAATTTGTTATTCTACGTTGGTATTGTGAATACCATAGATGATAAGTATTTGGTATGCAGGTGTTAGATCATTAATAATTTTATGAATAAGTGTCAGTTTGTGTCGTTTGCGTCTTTCTTGTAGCGTTATAATCCCGGCTTTGTTGTATAAGACTTTATGGCTCGTACCCCTTACAGCTCCACTTATAGTTCTAAGTGGGTCTAACTGTAAGTTTTCTAGTTTGTTAGTATGACCATAGATGCACTCATGGCAGACAACATCACAGTAATCGAAAGGAAGTAAAATAAGATAAAACAAAGAAAGTGTAAAAGTTTGTAGGGATTTTCGACTTCCGATTAAGCCTATATTTATGTGACCGTAAAGAGTTAATTAGTTTGCTTGTTTTATTAATAATTGAATATACATGCGAATGTCATTTGCAGTTTGAAGGATTAAGCCAAGATGTTATAGGAATTTGACCAAATCTGAGGGCTGGAAGAGGGGGATTTTTCTTGTTAGTTAGTATCAATGTTTCGATTTTAAGGCGGTTAAAGGATACCAGCCATGTTTTAGCCCATCTATTCAGTTTTTCCAGGTCATGTACTATTTGAAAGATGTGATTGCTGGTGTAATGGTAAGATTTATTGGGTTTGTTTCAGAGAGAAATGGGGTTTAACTTTCACTCGACACAAGCTAGGTCATTTCGGGACTAACACATATGGTTTAATTTTATTTCAATAATTCGCTTTTCGCGTAGGGGTCTTTAGTAGTGGGAGGAAATCGGAGGAACTGGAGAAAAACACGCGAGGTTGGACAGACGACCCCACTCCTTGTCACGTACAACCGAGGAATCGAAACCACGCCAGTTGACTCAATGACAGACTTTATGATACAGCGCGCACACGCTAACCATTTAGCCATCCAACCCAGCAGCTATATACAAAGGTGACCTTGTAATAATATCAGCACGGATGCACCACTCTCTTTGAAATTACCGGATGGCAAGCTTTCTAAACTAGGAACTGGTTCTATACACATGTTAATCTCCTTCTTGTCCTTCTTGTTCTTGGGATACACTCAAAAAATGCCTAATTTGGTCCGTTAATTTGAAGAAAATGGACATAAAAATTGGTACGCCTATTCGTTTGCATGTTGCGTGTACTTCCAAGATGGATGCGATGACATCGTATTGTCAAGTCCTGGTTCAGTAGGCTCGTACTTGTTAATGTGAAGTTTTATCTATTCTTTTGTTAATTTCTCCGTTGTATATAATATTTAACATATTCAGGGACGTTTAGTCAAGCTTTGTGTAGAAAGGGTCAACAACTTTATAAACTACAGTAAATGAAAGGGGGTTTAACACCATACCTTGCTGTATTAAATGGTCTAATCAAGACGGAAGTACGCCATATCGGGTTCACAACTACTCTTTGCGAATTTTACGTTGATAGAGCTTATAATATTTTGTTTTGTTTATTAAAGTCATGGGCTGATTACAGAAAGAGAAGTCCTCGATCAGCTGTTCAATGCTTCTAATTATGACCCAAGCATTGGACCATATACAATTACAGGTACGGTGCTAATTAATTAGAATATTACTGACGCGATGTTTATCACGGTTCTATTATAATTGAGAATCCATTAATGCAACTTCAATTAGTCTAGCTATCATTAGTTGTACTAAATAACTGACTGGAGCTATAGCTCGTTTTGTCCTTGATGGTTTGTTTCAAGAAAATGTCAAAAATAATTTAAAGAAAAACATTTGTTCTATCACTATTGCAGGTTGTCCCTTACGGAACAAATCAAATAAGAAATCGATTCATTCATTCATTTAATTTGTCACTCTTATAATACGTCATTTTAAAAACACTGCAGTGGTATTTTGAATTTAGTTAAAGAAATATTCTAATTGGAAAGTCTTGAGACCATTTTGATTTTGATATTAGACCTTATACATATTTTGGTATTTTGGGCACTAGCATCAATTGTTCATGTATATGCCAATAGGAAAATGTTTTTACACTCTTGATTTTTATATTACACATTCTACACATTGTGGTATTAGGCATTGAGCACTAGCATCAATTGACTCTCTTTATGTAATATGTCAATATAAAATATTTAAACCCTGTTGATTTTGATATAAGACGTTGAGCACAATTTGATATTAGACAAGCGACTGCTATTTGAACAAAATTTAAGCGTTCTGGACAATTCGATTCCCTTCCATGCAATATTACTGTTTTCTGTTTCATTATTTTCAGGCGAACCAACGGTCGTGAGTATAGATTTTGATATCTTGGCACTGGGACCCGTCAACGCTTTATCTATGGTAATTTCAAGTTATTACTTATAAGAAATTAGTGAACGGACATCCTAATTGTATAAATATACCATTTTGTACATAGAACAAATCAGAAATAGGTAACTCCCAGGTACTTGGGGTAAAATTTCACATTTAACGTAAGGAAATCATATTCACAAAGGTTTGTTTTTAGTTGTTAGTCATATTTTTTTTTATACAAATAAAAGACATAAGATTTCTAGTGACGACAACCCAACTTCAAAACAATATTTAAAATGAATCGTGTTAATTATTTCAGGAATACAGCATGAGTCTATACTTTCGGCAGTCGTGGCTGGATCCTAGATTAAAACAAGATATTATCCCACATCCTATACAGACGAATTATAGACGTCTAGATTCATTCTGGGTACCAGACCTCTTCTTTCCTGATGCCAAAACTGAACATCAACATGATATAACTATACCTAACATGTATATTAGAATTCACCCTGATGGAACACTCATTTATAGTCAACGGTAAGAGATAAAATGAGGTTTAACGTTCTGCTGTTCTGATACGACTGGGCTATTGAAGACGGGCATACGTCATACAGTTGGCTATGAGGAAAATTTTATCCGGAGAGCGGCGCCCTGGCCTACTCTTATATCGAGTTCGAACTGCCAAGGGTTCTTTTACGTGCATACCAGTGTGTACACTGGACTGAGTTTTCGTCCCATCTAAAACATTATATACGCTGTTCCTTGCCCGGTCTTCCATCCTACACTATCGACAAGGGGACCACATCGGGAAATCCAGATGAACTTTCTCGACCAACAACGATACATTATAAATAATATATAAGCAAAATAATGATATCGTCAATATAATAAAGTCACAAGAAATATTTTTTTTGTGCCAGAAAGGCGGCATTTTAGCCCATTCCTTCTTCAAAGACTAGGGGATCTTTAATGGACACTACCAATTTGTCCACGCAACCTCGTATTGTTTATCCCTTAGAAATGAGTTTTAACGTTCTACTTTTACTATACCAACTAGAGTAATGAAAACAGGTTCCGGGCTTTGTATGGGAACTTTAAATTTCATGCCGGAGCTCTGTATTTTCGGTCATTAAATACAGCCAGCCAATTAAAACTGGCCCGGGCATCCGTCACCTACTAGGTCGTCCATGCATTAATTGATTTTTCTGCAGTATTTGTATCCAGTTCACCGGCCCATTTTTTACCCGGGGCCCGTCACCTACTAGGTCATCCTGTGACACTACGGTAGGACAGATGTGACTTTTATCAGGAACTTCCAGAGAACGGCTCGTGATACTAGGGTGGCACTATCGTCTAGGACTTTCTTTGACTTCACGTTGTAATAACTACGATGTATTTCCAATGATCAATTAAGTTTGAAACACTGTTTATGTTGTTGCTATGTTTATATATCAAATACAGCAAACTACATAGATTAAATACAGGAAAACTACAACATCTATTATAGATACTTTATAATTTAATAAAATATCACGGTCTGAGTTTAACATCCGTTATAACCCTGACCTAACGACCTAAACATCACATTTGTAGCCTGGAGGTCGGGTGTTCGATCCCTGCATTGGCCGAGAAAGTTCATCCATATTTTCCGGCGTGGTTCTCCCTTGTCAGTGATGCAGGACGGAGGGGCTGACAAGGAAAGTTGTCTAGTCATTCTTATGGGACGAAAAACCAAGGTCCTGTGTACACATTGGCGTGCACGTAAAAGATCCCTTGGCAGTTGGAATTCGATATAAGAGTAGGCCGTAGTGCCGCTGTCCGGGCAAAATTTCCCTCATACCACACTGTATGGCGTATGCCCGTCTTCATTAGCCCAGGTTAGGAGCAGAACAGTAGGACGTTAAACTCCATTTCATTTCATTTCATTGTCTCTATCCTATCCTCTCAGCCGAGGCGGCTGTGTGTATGATGTTAACCCCCCCCCCCCGGACCGCTCTATAATGTCTTCTTTACAGTCTTGTCATGATGTCTACACCATAGCCTCTAAACTGATGTCGGAGAGTAAATCAAACCCGGTCTCTCCTATATAGAAAGTATAATGCGTCCGCTATTAGGGCGGGACAATTATCATATTTGGGTTAGTGTTTCATATGGGCACCGTTTTACGTCAACACTATTTTAGTTAATTGTACTAATCTGTGCACGAGATGACTGGACGATAGTAACAACCTTCCAAAATGGATACTGACATAGCTGCCGGTGAGTTAGTCTAATAATGTAGTAGAATAATGCAAGCTACTTCATTACCCTAGTTTTCGTCACAGATCATGTAGGTAATGAATTTCTATATTAAACAACAGCTTTCTTAGAACTAAAATAAACACTATAGTATTACAATCCCATTGCATAAAGGGAGTAGTGCTGGCGCCATACCATTGAATTGATGTATCGCATTTTTTTATGATTTTGTTCCTGTTATTTTGTCGCTTCAGTAAGTAACCTGTCTTAATTATCCACGTCACACAAACACTCTTATATTGTTTTGGTCCTTATTTCGATTCACATCAATGTCGTGATATAAATCAATTTTATTTCTACGACATCGACAGGACTTAAAAACATCAATTATTCATTGACCCCGTTGTTTTCTTGGTAAATACTGACCTGGTTATGAATCGCGATACGGATCGAATGGTAGCACCTGAATCGCAACAAGTATCGTATCGAGACTGAAGTGGCAATACCCAACACTATATACATTAATTGTTTTTCGGTATACAGTATGTGTATCTTGCCCAGCGGTCCATTTTTACCTGGTGGTCCCACCCCACCGACCATTCCACCCCTGCCAATATTGTTATCAGATGTTTGTTGTAGTCTAAATAGATCATATGTTTAACTTAGATTGTCTAGCAATTAAAATCACATGCCGTTTATAAAGGTACCTATGTTAAAGAAGCTAAACATGTAACCCAGTATTTTTCATAATTTTCAATATTGGTCTAATGCGGAATTAATTTGTAATGGTTAATTAAACACACATTATGCAAGAAGGACTTTTTTTAGGCCTGAAATGTTATCTAAATTATTAATTAGACATTAATTAACTTATCCAGACCATAATCAACTCTTGATGTGATTGCTAGCCTGCGATGTTTATTGGATTAGGTTCCGATTTGCTGTTCAACTTCCATTCATGATTTATTCATCAAATGGATAATCGAGACTGTTTTTTTTATCGTACCGACTTTAGCAATGATGATCGAGGCTAGGCCGAAAATTCAATCGCTAAATTCTCGGTTCAGAGTAGATCAATTTGACTGAAATTTTCAGCAAATTGCCGTTATATTATCTAGTTGTTAACTATTATAGTGAGAACTGCCAGCTCTTCATCTAATCTTTCATATTTGTATCTTTAACAAACGACAAAGTAACAATAAAAAAAAAACCGCATAACTAACTGTCGTTCAATTTGGTCTGTCCATGTATTTCACCTAACATAATTGATTAGAAATTACAATTTTTTAAAAAAAATAAATAATTATAAATTAAATTATATACATTCATATTTCATTATTATTAGCTTTTAGACCCATTTTCATCTATTTTAAGGTTCCATGGAGCCATGAAATATCTCGCACAATAATATAATAGTTTTAGCAACAAATATATTTTGAAATATATTTTCCAATCAATGGTTATGTATTTAGACTCTCAAATATATTCTTTATAAATATATTTTCCAATCAATGGTTATGTATTTAGGCTCTCAGATGTATTCTTTGTAATTACAGATTATCACTAAAAATAGGATGTGTGATGGATCTGAGAAAATTTCCTTTGGATAAACAAGTATGTCAGTTTAAAATGGAAAGTTGTAAGTATCTGATATAGTTTACACTGGGAAGCTGTGTGTTAACAAAACAGTTTATAAGATTGTGATAAAATAAAATTATTCAAAATAGTTCAACATGTAAAATTCTAGCTGTGTCTTTGATTCCTCCGAAAAGTTCGAACGTCGAAAAATAGGCAAATGCGAACGGCCCCTTTAGCAGTGGTAGGAAACTGGAGGACCCGGAGAAAACCCACGAGGTTGGACAGACGTTGTAACAAAGTACTCCATAACTTTCATCAAATTGAACTGTAATTTAGGTGCTTAGAACTGTATGACCTCAGCTGGTTTTTGATAATATATGATATTGACTTTTCAACTCTGTATAAACTTCTGTTAAGGCACGAACTGACTATGATCTAATTAAACATGTAATTAATCCCATATGTCATTTACAAACTACATATGATCTTTGCACACACTCCGCTTTACTTCAAAGGAATACGCACTGGTCAGTAAGCGTGCCATGACGAGATAAAAGCGACAATTGCTTGCATGACCATGAGCTTATCTATTCTCCGGCGCTATATATTCAAGAGTTTAGGCAGACGACCACAGACGGGCGGAGAAGAGAGGATTGGACGAGTGCATGGACTCACCCGAGTTCAGCCGCTGTCTTGGCAGAGGAGCAGAATGGTGGATTTAGTATAGTTATATGCATTACGGTCGCAGTCTAGTTGTAAAACTATAGGGTTTATTTGAGTTCTAAGAAAGGTGTTCTGTTTAATATAGAAATTCGTTACCTACATGATGTGTGATGAAAACTAGGGTAATGAAGTAGCTTGCATTATTCTACTACTATCTTAGACTATGTCAGTATTCATTGCTGGAAGTAGGGGACTGTAGTCCAGTCATCTCGTGCACGGATTAGTACAATTAACTAGAATAGTGTTGACGTAAAACGGTGCCTATACGAAACACTTACCCAAAAATGGTAATTGTCCCACCCTAATAGAGCTGGTATGATTTACCCTCAGATATCATAGAGCGGCCCGAAAGGGGAACACCATAGCCTCCTCGGCTGAGAGGCTGGGATATAGACAAAATGTGGTATTTAAACCGTTAGGTCTGAGTTGTAAAGGATGCTAAACTCAGACCGTAGATATTTTAATAACGCCTTAAGTTTCTATAATAGATGTTGTAGTTTTCCTGGATTTAACTTTGTAGTTTGCTGTATTTGATATATAAATATAGAAAGAACATAAACAATGTTACAGACTTAATTGATCATTGGAAATAGTTATCACAACCTGAAGTCGAAGAAAGTCATAGACGATAATGTCACAGCTAATTCCTTTTTGTTGCCGAACATCTACCCCGTAGTGTCATATAGTTCCCGGTGTAGTTTAGTTCATGTTATATCTATGTAACTGTTTGATATTCTGTTCCCGTTGTAAATAAATGCTGCATTTACTAAACTGATCTCTGTTATCACTACGATAGTGTTACAGAGTATAGCGGACAGAAATGAAATTTAATGGGGTTTAACGTCCTACTGTTCTGCTCCGACTGAGCTAATGAAGACGGGCATACGCCATACATTGTGTTACGAGGGAGATTAATAGCGAACAGATAAACGAATATTTATGAACCATTTGAATAAAAGACATATCTTTAAAAAACTTTTCTGCTCCATCCGGACTGATGAAGAACCCTTCACAGTTGGAATTCGAAATAAGAGTAGAACGTAGTGTCACTGTCCGGGTAAAATGTCCCTCATCGAACACTGCATGACGTATGCCCGTCTTCATTAGCCCAGTCGGTGCAGAAAAAGTACGCTACCACCTTGGGTAATAAAATAGACAAGTGTTTCCTAAGAAACTAACTAGAAAAGTCACAAAATAGGCTCAGGCCAGCTTGGGGTGGAGACGTCAGATTGATTAAAAGGCCTCTTCGATCTCGATTCCTTAATAAATACACAATGGCCATTGCAGGGTAGCGTCCAAGGTAAAATTCATGCAAAGGAGAAGCTCCGGGTAAGGCAGAACGTTATACCCTATTTCATTTCATTTCATTTTATTTCATTTCATTAGAGTAAAGTGGCGTGGTTTTGATTCCCTACTTGCACGTGAGAAGGAGTAGGTTCCTCCGGTTTCCTCCCACTGCAAAAGACCCCTACGCGCAAGCGAATTATTGAAATAAAATTGAACCATATTTTAGTCCAGAAATGGCCTAGTTTGTGTCGAGTTTCTCTCTCGCACTTAACAGTTGTATTTTCTTCTTCTTCAGATGGATATGTGACAGAAGATATGTTACTCGTTTGGTCATCGAAACGAAAATTTAGCAATCTTCTGCCGTCTGCTAACATTCCCGATTTCAAAATAACGTCTATTTCTGCTCATGATTGTACAACTAAACTCCAGATGGGTAATGTATAATAATCTGTTTTCCCTCCATCTTAAAGATGCATTATGTAAGATTTTGATAAAGAGCTGGCAGTTCGCGCCAGTTCAAAATTAGATAATGAAAGATGAATATATTGAACACATCATTCAAATTACTTGATTATCGTAGCAACGATATTTGGCAACCGAGACTTAGGAATAGCGTAGTCTCGATTCACATTGCTACTGTTATTACGATATCCATTTTTTAAACTAGCTCATCAAATGGCGATCGTTTTTCAATCCATTTAATCTCGGCCATCCGATGGTCTATAAGAGTTGATTATGAGATTGACATGTGTATAATTAACAATTGCATAATGCATCTTTAAAAGCCATAAATAGTTATGTTTCACATCAAATAGTTTAAAGGCGAAATATGTTCTGTTAGGGTAGCTAGGATTAAGGAAGCCAGTCCAGAAATGTTGATAGTGAATAAAGTTACATTGGGTTTGAATTACTCTTCTAAACATTTATCTTTGATGTACGTAAGTATCTAAAGCTCTGTGATAATTTTATGGAAAAGTGCTGGCACGATATATCGTTGAATCATTGTATCGCAATTCACCTTCTCACGATTTGAAACGCGACACGGTGAATCGATTTTTACGATTCTTTTTAATGTTTTTTTTTGTCGCGTCTGTAAGTAACATGTCGATCTTAATTATCCACGCCACACAATACCCATAGGTACACAAACACTCTTAGAGATACTTTCTAGCATACAAACTGTGTGATTTGATGATATATTTGAACTAAAAATACATTTAAACTAATTAATCTATCAAAAATTTGCTTCAAATCCCTCTCGAAACTTTATATTCGGCGGGAGACACCGTAAGCCATAAATATTGTTGTTAGACGCCATGTCTGTCAGCTCAATTCATCGAAGGAAGGTCCATTTTTCAGAATGTATTTTTCGTTACTTACCTGTCCATTTACCATACATAATTACCATAAGTAATTCTTAATTATTTTCTGTAAACTGCTTTTTCCGTCGTTTAATTGTAGAGTTTTTTGCACGTTGACACCCCTCAATATTCCCCAAACCGCCTAAACATTTAATCAAAAAATAACAACCGCTCCCTAAGTCAAGCTAGCACACAATTGGGTTTCTATGCTTTAATTGGAAATAACCACCCTGGTCTCGGTACGACGTTATTAAGTCTCCTCTGAATTTCATCCCAAAGATGTTCAATCGGGTTAAAGTCCGGACTAAGGGCTGGCCAGTGCATAACGTTGACACTGTTCTGCTGTAGAAAGTCCCGAGTAACTCTGGAGCTATGGGCACGGGCGTTGTCATGCTGGAAAACGTTGTTTCGATGACGTGCGAAATGTGGTATGACGTGAGGCCTGTGAGCTTGATCGATGTAGCGCACTGTTGTTGTGTTGCCACCTCTTCTCCCTGGACAAAGATTTTTGAACACCACAGGACCCACTCTCTGGTTCAGGCCGATTCCGTCCCAAACCATTAAGCTTGGAGCCCCCCCCCCCCCGCATGAGCCTCGTTCCATTACACATTGGTCATGAGATAATAGTTCTCTATTGCCTGTGTCGCCAGTTCTGGTGTTGTTGGGCAAACTGTAGAAGTTCACATCGATGGCGAGGGGTGAAGATCGGTCCACGGTAAGGTAATGGATGTTCTCTCTGGTGGATCTTCCGTGTGTTCCCACTGTTTGACGTGCTGTCTCAGATGCTTGTGTGAAGGGATTCTGCGCGTGATGTTACACAATATGGCGGTCTTGTCGCCTTGTGGTAACCCTTGGTCTACCAGTTTGGGGACGATCAACCGAGGTGTTGGTGGCCCGAAAGCGTTGCTGAAGCCTGTAGATGGTCCGAACATTGACCTGGAAGTGATTGGCAACAGCTTGGGCAGTGTGGCCAGCGCCGAGCCTTCCAAGCGCCTGGTTCTTCTGAGCTGTCGTGAGTCGTGGCATGCTGCTGGCGTTTTAGTGCGAATGATTCAACCAGGTATGGGGGTGCATTTTATATGGCTGGTCACGGTGAACAGCACGTGAAGCATAAGTTACATGAAAATCATGGAGAACATATTACCATCTCAGAAGTCAGGTTGCGTTTTTGAGAACATTTCCTGGGTTCATTTCTGTGTTTGGGAAGGAGCCTTATTGCTCAGGTACAGTTGGAGATGTGGTCACAAATATACAATAAAACATTTGGCAATTTTGATGCAATGCGTCTATTCAGATTAACATACCAAACTAACGTTTATTTTGCTGCTTAGTATATAGCAATCATTGTGAAACTAAATTGGAGAGATTTTGATTTAACAGTTTCTACGAATCTTTGAAACAGGCGCCGAGGTGTTTTGGGTCTGTTATGCAAGATCTTATTCGAAGCTCCAAAGATTTCGCTTTAGTTTTTATAATTTATGCTGACATTTATTGCTTTACATCTTCCTAGTGCAAAAACAGAAAACATGACCTTTTGACCTTGTGGGGTCACAAAGAACAAAGGTGAATTTAGCAAGTTTACATTTTTATTGAAAGGGTGATTACTTTCGATCATTTTCAGCATGTTTTCATGACACAAGAATGGCTTCGCATTTCACTTTCAGTTAGGTCTGGTTCTGTGCCCATTTAATAGCCCCCACCGCACCTGCACTGAGTCTCCAGACTACATGTTCTTTTGTGTTTTATCTTGACCGCGTATCTGTCCTCTGGGTTTCTAGTTGGCTGTTATGTGTGAAGCTGTTCTCCTGGACTTGACTATTAAGATTGAAGGTACTAAATATTAAGCTCGACCCATTGCTACAATTAGAATGCATAGTTTTGTTCCAGTTGTCTCCCTTTTTATGTATATTATGATGATTACTTTCTGTTCATTTTAGGCAACTTTCCCTGTTTGTATGCGGCCCTAGAGATGAAGAGACAGATTGGATTCTACCTTACGCAAACATATATCCCAACAGTACTGATTGTAGTCTTGTCATGGGTTTCCTTCTGGATTGATCTTCACGCAATCCCGGCTAGAATCTCTGTGGGTCTTCTAACAGTTCTGACCATAACTACACAAAGTTCCGGTGTGCGTTCGGAACTACCCCGAGTTCCATACACCAAATCTATTGATGTCTGGATGTCCGCGTGTTTAGTATTTGTCTTTGCTGCGTATGTGGAATACGCCTTTGTGACCGTATTATCCAGACGTTACAAGAAATTTTCCAACAGTAGCGGTAACAGTAATAGCAACAGTAGTGCCACGAATACTTCAAGCAGAGAGTCTTTGGTGAGTAACTAAAATAAAATCGATCCAATGATTCAATCCGCAATAAAGTCAATGATATGAAGATAACTAATAACTTTCAACTAGAAAATAAACGTAACAAATTTCATGTAATGTCATATTCAAAATGACCTTATTAGACGCGTCTCATTACCCAGAATCGTGCATTGGTTCGTTCGTTATTGGAGTTTTACATTCACTTCCACCAAGGGTGAACCCCCCAGAATCCAAGAACAGATCTACTTAGATCAAATCACAATGGGACTATTCCTATGGAATATTAAAGTGTTAATGTCGCATCGATACAAGGCAGATATGTCTAAAAATGTGAATGCCATCTAGTTTAAACATTAAACCACGGCAAATAGAAAATGACTTTCTACCATTTGTTAAAGTCATTTTAAGTTCAAAATAAAGCATAGATTGAGTTGATCTGGTGCGTTATTTCATTTACGGTTAATCTTTTGTTTCGAAATATTAAGAGCAAGCCAGTTTGTTTTTAGCTTGCACTGTCGACAGTAGAACACACAGTTAGCTATATATCAACACTGTCTGTATCTGTGGACTATTTTAACTATAACCCTATATCCACTTCACAAATCAATTCAACACATTAGACGTAATCAAATCGACACATTTATTTTAAATATAATGATTTACTTGTTTTAATAGTATTGTCGTTGATTAAATGGAGGTTAACTAGGGGCATGATGACCGCTGATTTTGCACGAGGAACAAGAACCTGTGTGTGTTTGGGGCGGGGGGAGGGGGCACAAAAAAAACCCCCAAACCAATATTAATGTTTGTTAACGGGGGTGGGCTGGGGGCTTTGGGCTGTGTGGAACATTTTAGAGTCGACCTGAAGCATATTATGTAAGCCACCGTATATGTTTGGTACTAAGGGGGAACAAATTCTCGCGCGTCATCTTCAATTAGACCCACCGTATTCATTAGCCCAGTCGGAGTAGAACAGTAGGACGTTAAACCACATTTCATTTCATCTCTCTTAGCCCCTAGATTGAATGTATTTTCATTAATTAGATCATTTTGAGTTTTAACATACGATTAGGGGTTTTTATTACAATGTTTATTTATAATGTATTTGCTCTATCTTTAAGAATACATCATCACTTTACCATATTTACGAAGAACAAGTAACAGGAATCATGCATAAAGATAGAGAAGGCAAACCCAGATTGTCAAGAACTATGTCAAGGGCGTCTTTACTTACGGGACGAGATGTGGGTCATTTAGTGGACAAGATATCTAGATATTTTTTTCCCGTGGCTTTTGTTGTGTTTAATCTGTGCTATTGGCTATATTATGTTGAATATTAGGAGATGTAAAGCATCGATATCAAATCTATACATCGAATCCATTAATCGCTTTATTTATAATTTGTTATTTCTAGGATAAAGATAATGTATTAAGAAGCTACGGTGTCCATGAGTTACGTCCCCTGTCATCTGTGTGTTATGTGTTTGCGTGACTATTGGTCGCTAGCAGCCATATCTGTCTGTCCACGGATACTTGTGCCCACTCTACTTTATTAAGTTCAGGGACAACCTTGAAGAATCGCAGTCAAAGGGTAACAAAGAACGCTGTTTAAGGGTGTCGCGTATTGCGAATGCCGAAAAGTAGGGAAAATACATTTTCCTTAAGCAATGACCCAATCCCTCGCTAGCCATTGCTGAACTAGAAGCCGAATTTCTATCCAGTTTGTAGAACACAATACGTAACCTGGCATTGGTTTTGGCCCTTCCTGACAGTTGATTAAATGTATTTAAAGAATGGTAAAAATATCGTTCTTCTCCGTGGTCTAACAGATACGGAGGCCCTTACGTACACGACTACACTCTTAACATATTCTTTTTCGTGGACGATTCCTTTCATATATAATTATTTTGTTTAAACGAAATATTAATTCGTCTAAACAAAATGTTAATTCGTTTAAACGAAATACTAATGCTGCGTGGTCTAGCAGATACGGAGACTCATAAGTACACCCATCATTTCACTCTTACATAATTTTTTCTTGCACGATTCCACTTTTATACAATTATTTAGTTTAATCGAAATATTACTTCGTTTAAACGAAATATTACTTCGTTTAAACGAAATATTACTTCGTTTAAACGAAATATTACTTCGTTTAAACGAAATATTACTTCGTTTGATCAAAATGAAATATTAATAAATTTATTTTAACGAAATATTAATTCGTTTGACCGAAATTCTAATTCGTTTGGATCGGAAGCTTCCGGAAACCTTCGTGTAGTACCAATGTAACTGATTATAAGCCGAGTCTGGTCTCGACTTCCATCCTGACAAAGGCTTGCCATTAACAAATGTCGCATTGTACGCTATTCGCCCGTATTTCTGTTTGTATATTTTTTTATTACACCCTATGCATGACTTGATATTTTCTATATGTAATAAAATGGATTTATATAGTATTGGTGTGTTTTTTCCAACTGTATAAGCGTAAACTTAGATCTCTAATAATTCCGGGGATGTTTTATATTTTAGCGTGGTATCCCAACCCTGTGATCCACTAGTGTGCTGATCTTTCGCCCTTAAAAGTTGGTTAAAGGATAACATAAACGAGCTAACTTGCTTTATGTTTTCATTATCAAAGTCAAATAGGAATCCAATAGAAATCTGAAGTTAAGATATTAGTAACCTAATTGTTTAATTGTCTACATGTTTCGCCTGAGCTTGTCAAGACATACAATAACAATAACAATGACGTGACGTCATGGAAGAATAAACATACAATACTATAATAATAATGAAGTAGATAATATATAATATATAGCATAATATTGTAATTATTTTGAAATGTTTAATTTGGGTTTGAATTTGTCAATAAAATATTGTTCCTTCAATCTCATCTTCATGGGATCTGAATACGGCATCTTAAAGAAAGGGTATATTTTGAATTCACCCTTACCGCAGATATCAAGGTGCTCACTTAAAGGGATCTTCCTTAAATTTGGTTCCCTGATATGTTGTCTATGAACCGTTAATCTGATTTGTAACTTGTTCGTGCAGCCGATGTACAGTTCGGCACAGTCACTACATTTTATGACATATAATACATGAGTTACTTTACAGTTCATACTTTCATTGACAAAAAATTCTTTTCCACTGTCAAATATAAATGATTTACCTTCAATTAAATATCTACACGTGCCACAATTATCCCTTCCACATTTTACAACTTCCTTAATTGGACTGAATGATTCAAATTTAGCCCTAGTTAACAGTGATTTAAGGTTTTTAGGTTGTCTTTTTGACGGGATAAATGTTTGTGTATCAATAAGTTTTTTAAATTTTTTATCTTGTTGAAGTAGTGGAAAATGTGTTTTAATTACGCTGGAAAAATTATATAGTGAGGATTAAAGGTGGTGACAAATGCAATTATATTGTGATTTGTATCTTTTATCTTTACCTGCCTTATAGAGAGAGAGAGAGAGAGAGAGAGAGAGAGCTAACATGTTTCAATTTTATTTCAATTAGGAGGAACCCGAACAGGCACGGAGAAAACCCACGAGCTTGGACAGGCGACCCTACTCCTTGTCACGTACAACCGGGGAATCGAAACCACACTAGTTCATTCAATATCAAAACCTTATGATACAACGCGCACGCTCTAACCAGTCGCCCCAGCCCCCAGTTTCATTTGGTATCTTTAACAATATAATTATGGCGGGGTATCGGGTTCAAAATGCAATCTAGAGTAAAAAGCAGAAAGTCAACAGTAAAAAGTAGAAAATCTAAAGTAAACGGGAAAATTCTTATCTAAAAGGGTATTTTTATGGTGAAAACCTATAAATTAATGTACTTAGTCTGCAGAAACATCAAGCTTTTCAACTTTCATGGACATAATTTCTACTTTCTACTATCAACTTTTGACTTTCGACTTTCCGCTTTCTACTTTCTACTGTCAACTTTTTACTCTCGACTTTCCACTTTTCTACTCACGATTTTCTAACGCAGATTTTCTCCAATACTATGGTGGCTGATAGTGGCCATGTAATTTTTCGCCATTTTCATAACCCGTCAACACGACATAACGACAGTATTGGTGAGAGCATACGTCAAAGTAGACTTGGATATTAGAGACGTTTGGCAAGCGTAAATTCCTGGTCCGCATCGCGTATCCGTATGGATTTTGTGTGTGACGTCATCAATGTGTGTGTATTTCTCATACGTGATACAGCACACGGATGTGGCTCGGACGTGTCTCCTACTCATATTCTAGTAGACTGTGCTCGCCTCTCATCCGAAAGGAAACCCCTCACGGATAAACTGAGTTCCCTTAACACAGCTCTCAGTGTTCCGAACTTACTTTATCCAAAAGTAAGCAAACACGAAATATATGAGTTAATCTACGAATTCGTGTGTGTGAGATCGGTATCCTTGATATGATGATGTGACCCCGCAGAGACGAAAAGAGTGTTCTACTCTGTGAAGATTTGGGGCCCACCCCAAGACCCAACGGACGGGATCCATAAGTGATCATCCCGAGGGCTACTGCTAGTCGGACGTCCCTAAGTGAAGGGACGTCGGGTACCCTGTGGAGGGCCGTTTTCTGTTTTGGTTCCGGTCCAGAACATCGCTGCACCCCTGAACCTAGGTCGGCCCTGGGGCCCGGCTGACAGTCTTACCTACCCCTACCTACCCAAACAAAGATCGTAACATTAATGGCCAAGCGGACCAGACTACGCCCGCTCGCCACCCCTTTTCTACCCCCAAAACTTTCTCCTCTCCTTTCGATGAGATTTTTAACTTGGGCATTCCCTGCCAAGACACTATGTCTCAAATTAAACTGGACCAAGCCTAATCCATACGGCTTCCTCCAGTAAGTTTCTTAGGAAACATCTTTGTCTACGATATCACCTTAGGTGGAAGTGGACGTAAAACCCCAGCAACCAACCAACCAACCAACCAGCACACCGATGCGGCAGCACGTATCGAACAGCTTTCACACGGAAAGGGTCCGTATAACATCGTCGTCTTTTTATCGCCTTTTTTGCTACTTGTATACGCTGAAATGTTGTTGCATAGCGTTTTTATGAATCTATGTGTATCCTAGAACACGAAGGTGTATATTTGATGTGATTTCAACCATGATAAAGACGGGAATTTAATCATTATTTTTGATAAGTTTTTCTCGGTATTTTCATATTTTTCCTGTTTGTCTGCATGCTGAATGATCTACGTGCCAAATTTAGGGAGGTGGGACCATGCAAATCTGTAACTGAAGTGATTCTACCGTAAAGGGGTATAAACTTTCTGAAATGAGTGAAACCCAAAATTGCTGTCGAGTCTAGGCATTTGTGACTACTGTCTGATTCATCGTAAATTTTAAACGGATTTCTTCGATTATGAACAAACTACTTAACTTTGGTTATTATAAACTTACCTGTGTGTTTGTAATGAACTCCCGTTCGATAAAATCCATTGCACAACTAATTATCACAACGATGAGAACAATTTCTCTCTTGAAAAATTTGAAAATTTACTTGTAATTTCGACAGAGTCGATGTCAACAATGTCTTCGTGACGTATTGGTCGAATCCAATATACCTGTTGCGGGGGTTGGTTAACATTGAAAGATAGTTTGACAGCGCGATCATTTTAATCGTATATGGGTTTGGGCGACGAAAAATATCAATTGAAGGCAATTACATAGGAGATTTAATGGAAACCATTGATCGCCAGTCTATCAAATTTTCTTCACAATTAAAATATCACTGATTGCACGGATACTCGTAAAAATAAAGTCATAAATAAACTATAAATATCCTATCTTCTTTATGTTATAAATAATTTAACAAGGATCATGAAGCTTACCTCCGAATTCTCTGAGTGTATTTTTAATTTTATACGCATTCTTTCGATCGAATAATAACCGCTTCAGTAACATCTTTAAGCGTGTTGCGGCAGCCCTCAGCGTGTCTATTGCCGTATTGGGTGCCCGGGTGGGTATATAATGCTACTAAGCCCGTATGACCCCGTAAGAAGCGGAACATTAATTCTCGATTCGACAGTTTTGACCGAAGTGTGATAAAGCCCGTAAAACGAATGTATAGTTGTGTTTGTGCGGCATGCGTGTTCAAAAGTAAATAATCCCATCCGAGTCGCTAATCAAATAATTAGAACAAAATATTTCAAAAAGTAAAGCTATAAAATTTGCAGAGATTTTACTAGAATGTAAAAGACGGTAACCAAATACAGGAATGCGGGTAGTTATGTGTGCGAACGCTCAAACTCAATGCCAATTGTCGTAGGTATCCAGACCACTCGGACCAAAGACTACTCGGACTAAGACCAGTCTGACCAAAACAAGACCAGTCGGACCAATTAAATTATATTATA